TTTTCATTTTACAGTAGTTTGGAACGATATCGGAAGTGGGGGTGCTGGCGGTGGCCTGCTAAGGACTACAATTTATTTGAAAATATCTTGGGTCCGATCCTCCACACCAGTTGGGCCCAATCGTCTGTGACCCGAAGTTTTCATTACGATTATCAAGAACGTACACGGTCTAGGCCCTGGGCTAGGCTTAGCTTGCTGTCGTCACTCTGCTACGTATACTATTACCGCATAACAAAGAAAGTGACTCACGTGGTGCATTCTTAAATATTACACACATTATTTAATTGTATTAGACGATAACACGATATCATTGATTGAACGATCTAACTACCCTCGCATCGCCTAGCTTAGGCCTCATGTTTTTGTGGAAAGCTAGATAGTCGTTATGTACCCGACAGTCGGCTGCTTTATATTTTCACCTGTTTTCAGTTTGCATTCAAAGGGTACATTGCTGCAGAGCCAACTGCCGGGGATATAGTACTGTACCTTCGTATGACTACTCATACGTATACAACAGAAAAAAACGTCGCATGGACTTAGTGAAAAATGGAGATCTAAATGAAAAAACGTTGCATTTCAGCAAGTATTATAACATTTTACTTTTATTTTAGGCCTTCTTCACAATACCTATGCCTGCAGCAGTTGATTTTTTTCGCCGTAAAACCAAAATAGTTTCATCCATGCCGACTTTCCGGTCGGTTAGTGTGAGCCCTGACTGAACTCTGTAGAAACTTCACATCGATCTCTTCGCATCACGATGTAAAACAAAATGTCGGAAAACTTTTCTTTGACGCATGCGCATTTGCATAAATGTCTACACACACACACACTACACACAATAAAAAACATAGGAAATAGCAAAAGTGATTACAATAGTTCCTATTGCATTACATGCATAGGAACTAAAAAGGAATTATTAAAGAAATAAGGCAAACCAACATATGCAGCCTGGCACATACAATAGTTTTTTTTAGTCTTCGTGAGCTCAAGGCCATGGTAACACATATTTCTAAATGAATGTCTAACCTTCTTGAGAAGTATTTGTACTTGTCACCATCCTTGTGGAGTTGCATCCGTTCACCATCTACTTTTGTTTCAATAAAAAATGGCTTATGATCCATGAGCTTCTCAACCTACAATAAATTCATTATTATTTTTTTAATTACAAATCTAAATTAAAGAGTAAGTAAATGTTTACTAGAATCCAACAATCATCAACATCATGGATACTACATATATAAAACCGAATCTATAAGTAGAAATAAGCTAGTTCCTACTAATAAATTACTGCAACAATAGAAAGTGGAAGAAAATTAAAAAAAACTCACATTCACATTAAAAATGTGCATAAAATTGCTTTCTATTTGATGATAATAAATGTTCATTGAAAAATTATTTTGAAGTGTAGATCGTTAAGTTTATAGCAAAGATGAAATACATGGTCACTGAACCAAAAAAGTTTGAATATTTGTTATTTTATATTTGTTATTTGGTATTAGTATAGTGATTTGTTTTTTTCTGGTCACTGGGTCCACACAATTAAGTGTTGCTGCCATATTGGCGCAGTAGCAGGTAATGCCACCATGTATCTATTTTTACTTGTGGGTGGCAAGAAGCAATGCAAATAATGTGCCTTGCTCAAGGGCACAAGCAAAAATGCATAGCAAGGAATGGAAACCAAATCGTTCCTACTGCGCCAAACGCATCCACAAATACCAGGGTAATACAGCTTTTTATAGTGGAACATGTTCTCACTTGACTCAAAGTAGCTCTCATTCCAAGCATCGGGCTAAATGGAGAAAAGACTTCAATGGCTATTTCATTCATACGAGACTCTGGATTCATTAGGTCCTTGCAAACCTGGTGTAAAATATTCAAAATTATTAATATTATTTTCAATACATTCTGGTGTACAGTAAGTGTATTACAATCATAAAGTGTTAATATTATTACTAATATTACATTAATATTACTACTACTAACCTAATTACTACTAAACATATTTATTTGAACACGTTTTTTGTACTTCCTATTTGAAAGTGCACACATACCGATGACAGCATTATTTAGCTATCAGTAAAGCAATATGTTAGTCTTATGCATGACTATGAATTATTATCCTTATTATTATTATTGTTAATATCATCATTAAAGTAATTTTCATTATGACATTACTGTTACTCTATTAGATTAGAATTTTCTGAATGTTAAATATTTGCAACTGTTGTAGTATTAATACATTACCTTTGCTAAGCTATTCGTCACATTGAAATACTCCTCCGCATCTTGATGGAAAACAGAGAAGATAGAGCTCTGACTTAACCCAACTTTCATCTCCTGAAACAAAAAAAGAAAAGAAAAAAAGAAACCAGAATGGAGTTATAACAACTGAACAGATATAAAATCTTTTGTGTTTACTAAGTGCCGTTCCATTAAAACTCAGATAATCAATCCTTATTAAATGCTGGTCATAATTTATAAAATGAAGCTTTTTGGAGTCCCAATCAAAACAGGGCCAGAAATATGCATGTCCTACAAACATGCCTTGCCCCACAAACATGCGTGTGTGCATATGCTTTTACACGGTCATTCTGTGGAACCTTAATTAGCAAAAATATCCAAGGGGCGGGGCTTAGTGGAAAGGTCTACTGAAGAGTTACAGCCGATTGATTAATACCTTCATAATCATTCTGATAAGCCATTTCTGTTCAGTTGCACTTGTGTTTCGTAGAAGGTGCATCAGGTTCTTTTTTACAACATCTTTTTTATTTGCGGCATTATTTGAAGCAATACCATCCAGACTGTCATTAACTTCTTTTATTGTCAAACTGAAAGAAATTTAAAATAAAGTATGATTTAACATGATTAAAATAGGTTCTGGCCAGTTGCCACCCAGACCCGTTACCACCCGGCCTTTTGCCACCCGGCCCGTTGCCACCCACACTTTTGCCACACGGCCTGTTGCAACCCGGTCTTTTTCCACCCTAAGCCCATTGAAACCCAGCCTTTAGCCACCCTAGGCCCATTGCCACCCAGGCCCATTGCCACCCAGGCCCGTTGCCACCTAGGCCTGTTGCCACTTGGCCTTTTGCCACCTTTGCTAAAGTTGAATATTTATATTATTTTGTTGGGTTTTTTACAGATTTGTACTAGTAGGCCTACAGTACTGTAGCAGAATTTTTTTCTTGATTAAATTTACTTTCCAGTAATTAAACGGGACTTTCCCCCCATATCTGTGAGGTATATAGGAGCTATATTTTATCTCAACTGGTCCATCTTGCTAAATCCATCAAGAAAAAAAGGTATCCTAAAATTAGTCACGGATCTCATGAAAATGACTCTACTATATGTTTAGCAGTTTTCAACTTTTGCTTTTTTTCTGAATAAAATAAAATCATTTTTTGCCATGTATGACCTAGTTACATTGTGTTTTCAACTTGGACAATACTTCTTCAATCATACATAACATAATTAATTCTCCAATTTAAATATTGTCTATTGTGTGTAATTTTATGATTTTATTTGTTTATTCTGTATAACTGAATTAAGCTGTTGATGTTTGCTGCAATGTTTTACAGTTTTTGTGTAGTTTTGATTTTTGAATAACAATAACAGTAAATTTATTTCATTTCAGGACTACAGGGGCATACAGACAAGATGTACTTGCAATTCTGCACTGGAGACGGTGGACATAGATAAATGCAGTGTGTCATCAGTTTATTTTATGGCAACATGGTAGATCAGGATGTTAATTCCCAGTTGCTGAGTCAAAAGGATTCGGGACAAATACACCAACCAATTGAAGCAGTATTCTGGTTCCAGCTAATTATAAGACATACATTCGACATACCAATTTTAAATTTCTTAAAACTGTAATAAAATATGCAGAGCTTACACTAGTTTCAAGCAATATTGAATTTTGTAATGTATTTTTGAATGTACTCTATATATTCAAACTTGATTTCAAAAAAAAAATTTCTGTTGAAGTCTTGTGATTATGCTGAAGTTGAAAAAAATGTTTAAATAAATATGTTCATTGGACATAAAAAGTACTGTGGATTGATATTTATTACTGTTGTACTATTAACGACCTTAAAGTCGAATTTTATCTAAGTTGAACAATTAGTCAATGCCATTTTGGACTTTAATAGGCAAGTTAAACTGCATATTCATTGTCAATTGTAGACAGAAACATTTCTTTACATATTTTCAGTTAAACAAGGTGCATGGATTTTTACAAATTTTATGGTAGAAACAGTAGAAAGAAATCAAATTGATAAGTTGGAAATTTATAAAAAAAATGTTTAAATAAATATCATGTTCAATGGACATTATAGTACTGTGGATTGATAATTATTACTATTGTACTATTAACGACTTTAAGTAAGTCAAATTTTATCTAAGTTGAACAATTATTCAATGCCATTTTGGATTCGACTTTAATAGCAAGTTTAACTGTATATTCATTGTCATTTGTAGACAGAAACATTTCTTTACATATTTTCAGTTAAACAAGGTGTATGAATTTTTACAAAGTTTATGGTAGAAACGGTAGAAAGAAATGAAATTAATAAGTTGGAAATTTATAATACTGATCAGTTGAGTGCCCTAATAATGATATTTAGTCAGTACAATATTCACCTGCCCTTTTCTGGACACCTGTTCCTCAGAACAAAAAATGCCACACTTGCAAAATCACCTGCCTCCTGAGGGGGGAAAAAAAAAACCTTTTTTAAAGTGTCTTGAAAATGAAAAATGAAAAAATAGGAAGTACACAAACTGTAGAGTTTTGGCTGGTATTGAAATCCAACGATGCAGAAATTACAAGCATTTGAGAGTGCTTTAGGCTCAATGGTACATTAGGTGACTTATCCCAGATACCAGGGGGCCCCCCCCCCATTTGCCAGAGCTGCCTCCGCCCCCATCGGGGAGAAAACCACAATCCGTCGAGGAGAAAACAATTATGTTATGTATTGTTAACATATTAGTAGCATATGAAATTGATTAAATAAGCTTTTAAAATCCCTCAATTGTCATTGATTTTGGAGGCTTCAACATCTGGACCACTTCTGCAACTATGGCAACTTCACTCTCATCAGGGACACACTCCCCCCACCCTGGTTACATCAGACAGTCGGGCAAATCCTGGCGTCATCCTTCAGCGCTACATACCCATATCTATCTATCTACTGAACTTGTCTCTGTAGAAGGCTACCTACTTGTTTAGCTGTAGGTGCTCTGTAATTTATCAGCTTCTTAGCATCCTGGCTTTCTTTGGACAATCCAAGTATTTCAATGTACAACTTCGCCAGTGTGTGCTGTGGATTTACAAATCTTAAAAGTGTGAATACTATAAAAAAAATATCTCTAGGAAACTTATCTAGGAAAACAATATCAACCGTGTTTGATTAATTTGATAAAAACAAACTGAGTTAAAAAGTGTAGTCTTTCAAGTTTCATAAAAAAAATGTGATACTGTAGGTCCAGGTTTAAAAGAACATACCTCTTTGATTCCATATGCAAGTCTCTCTCTTTCTAATTGTGGGAGTAAGAGACGCATTACAGGGTAGAAGGTATCTGTCTGGAGAAGAAAAAAATAAAGTCATCATGATGATCAATGGTTTTTGTGCCCTCTATTAAGCTGAACCACTTCAATTGGACTTGAAAATAGGGAGTCTAAATTTACCACAAAAGAGGCTGTCATTGCAAAACCAGCGTAATGTCGCTAATTGTAATTAAGAATGTAGCAGTACTGTACGCTGTGCAGTAGTACAGGGAAGCCATACTCTTTTGACTCCTAACTTTAGAAATAGTAAGTCGATTCTGGTATTATGATCCTCCATTCTAGGTTGCAATTTGGAAAATAAGATTACATTAAAAAGTCAATTTTAATTTTTCGGTCATTGATGCTGGTTTTGGAATGGCAAGCCTCAAATGTACTGAGCCTGGGTCAATCATCCTACCATGGACACCAAAACAGTTGAAGAGGCCATCAAAACAGATGTACTGTTTTTAACATCAGTACAGTATGGTATTTTTAATTTATAAATGAAATGGATCTTCCCACTAATCCCTGGCCACAGAATTCTTTTCACACTGACATGAGCTAGCAGTGTGTACTACACATCCTTTATCTTATCCGGCAGTGCTTCATAAAACGACATACCTACAGTGTAGGTGCAGCTACAGTAGTTGGTATAGGCCTGTCATGATGTTACCATGATATTTTAAGTACTTTAGATAAAAAATCCTTAGTATGAAGAGGGCTACAAAGATCACAAATAGTATTTTATAATATATTACAAGCATCATATTTATGTGCGAGATTTTAGTCTTGAAAAGTGAGAGTGTGAGGCAGATCCCAAATGCGCAAGTCTCATGCCGAATGCATGAGACGTGGTATGTATGGGGATGGTTTTAAAAATATATTTAAACTTTGTTTTTCTTAAATCCTTCAGTGTGAACTGATTTTTAAAAAACAGATTTCAGTGTATTATGTCAGGTCGAAGTTCAAATCACAAATAAGTCAGTGTTTGTGACATGAACTTTGACCTAATATCCAGAATACATTATATCAGTTCACACATAAGGAGTTGAGAAACAAAGTTTAAACTTTCTACTTACATTGATGATATGTGTATCTGTGTAATGGTATAAATTTCAAAATTAATATGAAGTGTCCAGTACGGGTCAGCCGGTCTGTCAAAGTAGTGGGTGTTTTTAAGGTCAATGGTCCTGCAGCCATGTTTGGGACCCCATCATACCTTCATTATTGCTCTAATTACCTAGCAAACATTTATATTGTATGAGAATATTCATCACAGGTTAAATTTGGACTTCCTTACTTAAAAAAATGATAAGAAAAGGGGAAAATCTATTTCCACACAATGCTTCAGGAGATTTTGGGGGGCATATAACATCCTAATAAAATATGCTACTTTGAGTGGTATTTCTTGAAAGAGGACCCAAATTTCAGTTTAAGTTGCAATTTTTAATTTTTAATTTTAAAGTTAAAGAAGCCATTTCCGGCATGAAAAGGGGGCGTAGTACGTCTAAATTTCAAAAGGTCATAAATTAAAAACCGCTTGGAAATTGGAGCTGAAATTTTAGATTCTTTCTTTTGAAATATAAAAGTATTTTTAGAAATTTTTAAAGGAAAATCCAAGAGGGGTCACATGGGAACTTTTTAAATTCTGGCTGATTTTAGTCAGAATTACCCTCTGTACATGCACATACATTATCAGAATCATCTTTATGCAAATGTGCATGAAAGACTCTCCACTTGTCAAGGAAGTCCTTGAACAGCTTCCTCTTGTTGTCAGTTCCATGTTTCTTCTGCACATTCTCAAGAAATACTGCAAGCTCTGAGAATGGTATCCGACCAGCTACAGATATAGGGGATGCCATTCTACTCAGCACATCAAAAACATCAAAAATGTAACTGAAAAAAGGAAACAGATTTTTGTCATTATTTGAAAGGAAAGCATGTATCTTTAATTTTGTTGCTGCTTTTTGACATTTTAGGGGGTAATCATAGGTCAAAGGTCATTTGGGACAAAAAATACACAAAAATGCCTCGTTTTCATGGTGATCTTGGACCCTGTGGCCAAGTACACTTGTTGTTAAATCTTGCACCATTAATTAATTTATATATGATGATTAGATGTTCCAAATATCAGTTTGGTGTCTTTATTCCTTCATGTTTAAAAGCGATTTGAAAAGGGGTATATTTTCAAATTTTTGACAATATCAGTGCGTAAATGTGACAAAATAAATTTTTTAATAACAATAATATTAAAAACAATCTACTGTATCTAGACTCTTGAATAATTCTAAAATAACTTCATGTGCTTATTTTAAGCTGCTTGCAGTTTGTTAAGGGATATATTGTTTAATTAGTAAGATATTGTCTCCCCACTCCCCGTATCGGAACTTCTGATTGCTAAAGGTACGGTAAATGATATTACGTCATGATTAGCCAATAGAAATGACCGACGCGATTTTGGCTTTTTTGCCAAGTCGACGTCGCGATCATGAGAAACGTGTGGCGCGAACAGTTATGATCAAATTTATGTCATAAAACTTTTGGCCCATTTCATGTATTTCGATTGGGGCTTATCGCAATCGCTTTCTGTTGTTCTTGCGTATTTTATGGTCTACCAACTTTCTACTAAGGCTAGGCCTAGGGCCTAGCCTGAATACCCGCCTAGGGGCCTATTATAGGCATACTACTAAGCTAGGCTTAGGCCCACTGTAGTGCTATACAAAATATAGTTGTTGCGGCCCTGAGTCGATTTGGCCCTGAGTTGGTATTTTTGTCATGCATTTCGGCAGCGGTCCATGGAGCGCCGAAGGTGCGGCCGCGAATAATAATTTAATCGAACAAGGTGGCTAAGCAGTATACCGTTTGTTAATCATGAAACTTAGGCTATATTACTGCAACATTATCAGATATTAACAATTCTTTTTAGTAGTATTTTATTATTACTGTAAATTATTATTATTATTAAAGAGTTCATTGCAGTATCAAATGATGTTCTTTCTTTTTACAGAAACAACGCAAATGTTGCAAGTCGATTGGTTTGGTCGAGACACGTTTCTTTTTATCGTTTCCATACGATATATATTTGGATCATGTTTATAAATGCTTCAATAAATTTTAGATTTATAAGTAGGCTTATAGTTAATTTAGCGGATTAGTTTGTCATAAGTTTTTTTTTTTTTTGCGTCTCCATTTACATTACCAAATGCTCTATTTATAACAATACATAGGCCAATATAAAATAAATTAAAATATACTGAATGATGTGATAATGAAAATAATGCAAATATATTATTGTATTCATAAGGCCGACAAAATCACTCATTGCATAGAAATTAACTAAAGAAATGATTAACTACAGTATAATTTGAGGAAAGGACGTTTTCAACGATTATGTTGAGGTGAAGCAGGCACATGGTTTGTATATTCTTGTTTGTTGTATTTACATTGTCAATACATATTTTGATTAAGGCATGTTTAGAGAATACACAAATAAATGGAAATAGTAAAATGTATACTGTAGTTTAAATAAAATTTATAGGCCTACAATGTTAATGGCTGTTTCAGGTTTCTTTTGATATAAGTAAGCCGGAAATTTCACTCACAAGGCCTACGGTATTGTTGCATGGAAACTAACTATAAAAATCGGAAAGAAACGCCCACAAACAGGTTCCCAGTACTCCTTAGGGTGAAGCAGACATCCTTTGTACGCCGTCTTCAGGAACTGCAAAGTATGTTCACCTCTCGTCTATGGTTCCGATTAAAAAAAAAAATTATTCAACTTTGTTTAAGCTTTAATATTTCATTTGCCATATATGGACAGGGCCCCTGCCGGTAGAAGCCGATCATGAGATGTCCGACAGGGGAACCGAAAATGGGGCCGATCGAAATAATATCGCCTTAAGGAGATGTCCGCGAAATTTTTTTTTTCTAGACAGATGCAACCTCTGAGGCTTTTTGGGCGATCAATTTTTTCCCCTTTTTAAACTTCCTATTAATAGCCAGGTTTCAACTAGGGTGAGGGCCTAAGATAGGCAGTAATAACAATGAAAGGTCGGACCTAGGCCTAGAGAGGTTCAGGCAGGCCTATCCTACCTAGGCATAGCTAGTTTAGGTATAATAGGCCGGCCTACTACTCTCTAGCTAGGCCCTCCGGCTTCGCTAGGTTTCAGCTATGGCAGGGGTAGCTAAGGCCTAGGCATGGCTTCTTCTATTACAATACTTTATTCTCGCTTGATGTTGCCAAATCTAGCAAAACTGCAATCATTTTTAATTGCTATAGGGCCTCTGGCTTGTCAACAACACCCGCGAACGAACAAAATTTCTTCTTCGATCGTTGCCAACACACAATCACTATTCTTGCAGCAGCAGTGCACTGAATGACGTCACGCATGTATCAACGTTTCTACTGGCTAATCATGACGTAATATCATTTACCGTACCTTAGCAATCGGAAGTTCCGATACGGTACCGAAACCACTCTACACCTAAAATAGCACCCTCTATAATTTCTGCCGGAATTGCATGGCCATGGCATGGGAAAAAAATAATGCCCCGCGCAGCCACTGTTTTATACCATTCTAGAAAGTGGGCCCAAGCGTCCACCACAATTGGGCTAGGTCTACGATATGCTAGTTGCTCGTCCGGACACTGGCTTAGCGCCTAAGCCTAGCCTAATAGGCTAGGCGGATTTTGACCGGTTGAGCCGCCGACAAGTTGAGCCGCCGGTCATTTCTATGGAACGCCAAGCGCGTCTTTCAGTGAATGTAATGCGTTAATTGCGGCGTATTTCAATTATTCGTTCTTGGTACTGTTGTTTGGGATGTATTTCAGTTTATTTACTCAATTATTTCAATTTAATTGTTAATTGAAATACGCTGCAAACCAAACGTAAAAAATAATAATCAAGTTGTTACATTTTTAATACGATTTTGCATGACTATAAACAATAAATTTAAATGTGTTAGGCCTATGTTATTATACAGTATTTACTACATGAAATCCGACTGCTAAAAAGATTAAATGGAATTAAACCTGTCTCTTATACACATCTAGATGTGCAAAATAGTACAAATTCGAATAAGTTAATTGAAATACGCCGCAAACCAAACGTAAAAAATAATCAAGTTATTACATTTTTAATACGATTTTGCATGACTATAAACAATAAATTTAAATGTGTTAGGCCAATGTTATTATACAGTATTTACTATGTTTTTATAATTTATATATTTTTATTTTTTTACTATTTGTTAAACTTATATATAATAAATAATTTAATTAACAAAATAGTACAAATAACGAATAAGTTAATTGAAATACGCCGCAAACCAAACGTAAATAAACACATTTTTAATACGATTTTCCAATTATACAACTTCATTTATTTTTATAAAAATGTAGTACATAAAATAATCAAAATTCTAATTTTCAATTACACAACTTATACATCACGAACGGCAATGCGAGCAAATCAACGTCTGACAAGACTGTGGGATGAATATGTAGCTGGTATCCGGGGGTTCATTCACTGATGACATTGGCAGGCCGACTACATTCACTGAGAGACGCACTACATTCACTGAGAGACGTGCTTGGAGTTCCATAGAAATTACCGGCGGCTCAACTTGTCGGCGGCTCAACCGGCTCGGCCTAGGCTAGGCTAGGCTAGGCCTAGGCCTAACTTAAACTAGGCCTCTAGCCTAGGGCCTAGGCTAGGGGCCTAGGCCTAGTTAGGCCTGTGCCGATCGTTTACACAGGCTAGCTAGGCCCGGATATGGATTCTATTGTATCTTGTGTAGCCTATATTTTAAATACAAGTAATAAACATTGTAAGAATGTTATTAACTGAAGCAAAACCAACACACACTATCACCCAAGCCCCCGACGTACCTGCCATTTTCTTCGCGGCTTGCTTTCGGTCGCGGCAAAGATACTAGAAACACAAAAGATAGAGTTCTCCACACAAAAAAAGTGTTCCACGGAAATGCATGGTGGGAATACACAGAGCCATATATATAAAGAGTTGCGACATTCCGCTCCCTGGTTTACGAAAGTCACGTGGTACACACCGTCCATTTTGTTTCATAATCTTCCCGATGAACACATGCAAAGTATATGTGTTACATACATTGCATATTAATTTCACACACTTAATTGGGTTTACAATTATATTTTATAATTAACATCACTTAGTATGGACAGCGTATAAGAATTCATATATAATCGAATGTTTGCGCGCGTGCGTGCTCGCGTAAATGATTGAAATTAAAATTAGAATTGTTTTCAATTATCGTTAATTCGTCACATTTTAATCAACGAAGACCCGACCTATTTTATTTAATGGTAATCTTTTCTTTGGTTTTAATTGTTTTTAATAGTTATATAT